AGCGGCCACTGCACTCCAGTCTGGGCAACCGAGTGAGACTCCAACTCAAAAATAAATAAATAAATAAATAAATAAATAAATAATTTAAAAGTCCAACCTCAAAGCATTTCCTCTTAGACCATGTCTGTCACAAATGAAAGAGTAACCTTGAGAAGATTAAACAGCAACTCAAATCAAAACAGTTTAGAATGTTAGCAGCATGATTCACAATATTCAAAGGGTAGGAGCAACCCACCCTTTGATCAATGAATACACAAAATGTGACTGAATGATTGAGTTGGGATCTTTTTATAAATAAATAGTTTTTTTTCCTGTCTCCCCTCATGCACACATACCCACACACCAATGAGGGAAATGAACATTACTACAGACCTTATAGACAGAATCAGTAGAAATTATCTTGAAACAAAAATCTATTAACTGATTAACAACTGTTAGAATGAGGTGCTCTATCTTCTGCATGTAAAGTAGGTATACATTCACATCCTCAAATTTGGCTGGGCACAGTGGCTCACTCTTGTAATCCCAGTACTTTGGAAGGCCAAGGCAGGAGGATTACTTGAGACCACCCTGGGCAACACAGCAAACTCTCTATTTCCACAAAATTTTTTTAAAATTAGCCCAGCACTATCTTTTTTAAATATATATTTTAAAATTAGCCCAGTCGCTAAATTACTGGCAAATACCTGTAGTACCAGCTATTTGGGAAGCTGAGGCAGGATTGCTTGAGCCTAGAAGTTCAAGGTTGCAGTGAGCTATGTTCACACCAGTGCACTCCAGCTTGAGTGATCAAGCCAGACCCCATCTCTTAAAAAAATGTAAAAACTTTTAAAATAAAAAATTCTCAAATTTTACAATATAACTTAATTATGTTCTAAGTTTGAGCTGGATGGAACTATAAATGCATTTAACCAAATGATAATTATAAATGATTAAGACCTCATGTCATTCACTCATTCAACAAATAATTGCTTGGTATCTACTATATCCACAGACAGTGTACCAGGTACTGGGAATAAAAGAAGACTCACAGTCTAACCCTCCCCCACAGTAGGCCTACCTCCAACTTACTATATTCTCTCCCAACTAAACCTTGGTCCTTTTAGTTCAGGAAAGCATGGAGATGGACCTAATGCAGTCCCTTAACCCTTAGAGACAATTTTATACCTAAGAATTTATTTTTAAAACGCAGCGCAACAAACTGAAATTAAAAACATGTTTTTGTGCAAATGAGCATTTTTTGAGGCAAAAAAGAAGGCTCTATACTACTGTATAGACTTGTATCCTGTGTGTTCGCTGAAGTTGTTTCTAAAACCTACAGATTCCAACAATGTCAAGACTTTTCCTTCTGCCCGTGGCAGTACAGGGAAGAAGACACACTCACGTGGAAGGATAAGTGGTGGTAAGGCAGAAACTGCTTGAACACAGCCATGTTCTTTGCCACAGAATGTATATCGTCAACAGATGATTCTTCAATCAATTCCATCTGCCCCAGACAGGACACAGAGTTCAGTCAAGTACAGCTGGCTGCTTCTCAACAGCGGCAGTGCGTGCAAGTGGGTAGAGCTGCTGTGTGTCCTCCTGTACCACTGCCGGGATGCCTCAGAATGTTGGCAGACCATTGCTTAGAAGAGTTCAGGTTCACATTTCAAATTACTCAGTAGGGACTGAGTCTGTCAATTCCTGCTTAAAATCCTTCAGATTTTCCATTGTTCTCCAGAAAGCATTTTCAATGCTCAATATGAACCAAAGACCCTACAAGAGGTCTCTCCTGTTTACACTAGTCTTTATACCAACATGGCTCCTCCTCCAACCTCCCCAGCCCCCATCATCCTTCAGACCTCAGTTGAATGGGTGCCTCAAGCTTTCCCTGACCAACCAAACAACCCATATAGGTGAGGCAGCCCTGAGACACTCTCAGAGCACCGTACACTTTCCCTATGGCACACTTGCCCTAGCTATAATTGTTTTTTATTTCATGTAGTGCTTCCCAATGAAAACAAATTCCACTGCGGGCAA